CGTTATAATAAAATAACAAATATTTGCTTAAATATTATTTTTTGTATGATGTGTACCGTAAACTGAATTGTAAACTAAATATTGATTCCCTTTTTCAATACAAGGTTTGCTTAAGAATTTAAAACAAGTAAAATAAATGTTTAAAAGAATTTTATAAAAACTAAAAACAAATTAAATGAACAAATAATGTTAGAAACAAAACATTGTCGCTAATATAACTGGTAGCGATTGTTGAACACAATTACACAACTCATGCAAATTAGCTATGGTTTTGATATTGGATTCGTGTCCAATAAATTATTTTCGTAAACAATGACTGAATGAAAAAATAGTTTTCGTTTATAGTAAGCATTAAATCAAGAAATATTATATTTATTATACGTGTGAATACAATTTGTCGCTTTACACAATGAATTTGAAAACTATTAATTTAATAAATAAAATTATATCAATTATAGCATTGATTTTGATGTGTTTATGAGTGGATTACTGAATACATGATTACATGATATTGTGATTTATAGTACGATTCGATGCAATCGCATGACTATAAGTGATGAACAAAATTAATTACACTCTCGTATTGGGTTTGCATTTGTAGACATCACTACCCGATTACGACATACGTTTTGGCACTCAATCTAATGCCACATAAAAATATAAATGACTGAAATTAAATGTAATAAAAATAAATTCTGGTATTAATATAACGTACAGTATCATCACTATAACTTACATGTTAGATAACTGTTTTGCGTATCATTAGTGACTATTTATTATCATTATCGGCGATATTAAAAATGTACTCAAATTTGATCCATTGTTTAAAGTATTTGCGGAATTTTTCCATTTAAATACATTATGTTTTCGTTTGTTTGTGTGAATCGAAGCGTAAGAATATATGCTATAAATACTTGATATGAAAGACAAGTTTATCTCAAACTGGATACCAATCTCAGGAAATAGATATGAAAACATGTAGTTTTATACGAAATTCTGGACAATATTTATGACAATTATCTAACATTTGATTTTCAATTTGACAGGAATTTCGTGATCGAAGACCGGCGACGACAGGAATCGAGACAACTATCGGCTCCCGAACTGGACTCGAAAGGCGGCAAAAAGATTATTATTAGATCCCATTCCCAAATAGATGTTATCAATAATAGGAGAAACGATGACTCGGACACCGGCTCGCCGTACGGACGGACACCAAACGACAATTACAGAGACAATAGGACCCAAAGTCTGGTCCGATCGCGACTCTCGAAGTTCGACACCGAGAGGAGCCGATCGTTGTCGCCCTCGCCGTCCGCATCCATTCGCGAGGCCTCGTCGTCGCCATCTGTAGAGTCGTCATCACTCCCATCCCCCTCATCCAGTTCCTCATCGCCAGAGAAACTCATATTTGGCATCAGTCCTAAGACTCATTCACTGTCGAGGTATATGTCTATGTCTTTTATAAGTATACCCGTCCATAGATCTATCGGTGCTCTCATGCGGTGTTTATGTTGGAAATGAATTATTGCTTTAAATATTTTTTGTCAAAAGTTTTTCGCGTAAAAAATATTTTCATATTTTATATTCAAATGACTCGTATGTTAAGTGTAGACTCGGAGACGAAAAATGTGTTTTTAAGAAAGTTTTATTTAGTTTACGTAAAGAAAAAATTATAACTAAAAATATAAGATGTTTGTACAGAATATTCTGTCACTTTTTGAACAGTGTATATATTTTTGTATTTCTAATGATCTTTTCGAGAGAGAAACTAATGTTAAGCTCTAGATTGAGGCCAAACACAGAATTTCGCAACTTTTCACACTTTTGCCACTTATTCTAGCATATTCTGCTCACAGATGTCTCGCAATTCATATTACAAGTAATTATTCGCGAAATTTCACAGAATTTTATTCTTGCGCTTAAATCTATACAAAAATACTTTTTTGGAAAAAAGAAAAACAAATTTCAATTTCAATTGAGTGGAACTATAAGTGGAAAGTCAGCATAAATTATGTGATCAATTAGTGGATTGTCTGATAAAATACTATAAACATGTCTTTCATTTTTCGCTTTCTCATCGTCTATGCTGTAAATTTGACCCAATTTTGAACATTAAAATAAAAATTAAAAAACAAAACTTTATGCAAAAAAGAAGTTAAATAAAACAAAAGAGAATATAATGACTTTTTAAATATTTATAGTTTTATTGTATTATATTAACACAAACCGAAAATAATATTTAGTTCACTCGTATAGGGAGTTGTGGTCTAAGTAATTGTTATATTCATTTCTCAAATCCTAGTCAAGTATCCCTCCCTATCCACTCGTTTTATGACTAAATCTTTATAATAAGTGCTTTAAAATGAAAATCTTGTTAGCGTGTATGGAATTCCTAAGGCAAATAATTTGCATAATTTTTATGTAACTATAACTATATTGACAGCACACAGAATACTAAACTACAGACACAGACATTAGTAGCACTGTATGTCTCTGAACACAAAAATATTATTCTTTGAGGCAATGTTTAAATACTTTAACAGATTATAAAACTGTCAAATTTGTTGTGCAAACTAAACATAATTTAATGTCTTGTTTTGATTTTGTTGGTAATACCAACATGGTATTATTGTTTGTGTATTAAAAATAGAAACAAATAATCTTAATACCAATGGAATGTATTACTATGCGGTATACACTATTTATTATATCATTTTGAATGATTTAAAAAACTTGATTTTTATTTTAAAAGTTTGATTAATTCCGGTGATAAGGCAAATGAAAATACTCTCTATTACATATTTAGTTAGATTTTTAAAACTAGTAAAATATATGCAAAGTTAAATATAAAAATAATGTTTTATTTATTATTCTCTAAAAAAGAAGTAAAATATTTTTAGATATTCAATAACTTATTGGTTTTGAATGTAAAACGTTTTTATTATTCATGTATTTGTCAATCATATCTTATTTTTATGCATATATTTGCTTCATATGTGAGATCCTTACGAATTAAGAGACGATTTATTTTTATTTTACTTTTCGTTTCAGATATAAATCACTGATTGAGTCGCGAAGGAATGAGTGCCAGTCGTCCGCACAGTCCTCCCAACCCTCCCAACCCTTAGCGAGCGGTTGTCATAATGGGAACCAATTGTGTAAAGACTCGAACGGAGATCCGACACAACGAACAATACACGAGAGGAATACACCTGTTCCTAGTGGTGGTGGTAGTGGTGTGGGTCCCAAAATAGACGGCTTATCATCAGCGCAATCGCCACCCCGTGTATCAGTTCCAGTGCCAGAGAGCTCGCAGTCATCTGCGCTCACTCTAAGTGTTATTGACTCCACAGCTCAGCCAACACCAGAACAGACCTCCTCCTCATCCCTAACTGTGTCGACAAATGCCTTGAATTCAAATATCGCTCAAATGTCGCCCTCACCTGTGAAAACAGTGACCGCAAACACGTCCACCACTTCCTCGGCAGCCAAAGGCCAGCTCACCAGCGATTTGAGGAATGGCCGCAACGGTACCGCCAAATCGAGACCACTATCGGCGCCGGAATCGGCGTTACAGGAGTTTATTGTCCGTCAGTTGACGGACGACGAGAAGGCAATACTGCAGAAAAACTCACGAAACGGTACCAAAGATGACAACCAGCCCACAGCCGACTCCATCCATTCAAACGGAAATAGTGTGACAAACGGCACGACTAATGCAAGTCTACGGAACGGCACTACAGCCAAACCCATCATCGATAAGCCGAAGCCACGGATTATAACACTCTCGCGACCGCTGCCTAAACCCGAACCAAAAGCCGCTGAACCCAAGTATGTGAACGGAAAGTTAGTATTCGGACAAATCCCGGTTAAGCCATTCCTGGCTAAGGGGTCGGTCGCTGAGAGAGTGCTCATGTTTGAGAAGTGCCCCGAAAAGACTTCTGTGACCAAAGTGAAGATGTCTGACAAACGGGATAAGATGTCGTACAACAAAGTGGGCCAATGGATGAAACTCAATAATGATAATAATAATAATTTTAATAATAAACAGGTAAATTTAATTGATTGCATTTCATATTCATCAACTTAAATGTCATTTTTAATATAGAATTGTATTGTATATATATATAGTATAGTATAATATAGCAATAAGTATTGTATTGTAATTTATTATTATTTCCTATTCAAATGACTTCAGTGTATAATTGTTATAAATATGTATGCGTTTGTAATTATAAATAGACATTAGAAACCTTCAGTTAAAGTATAGATAAGTCAATACTGTACCTAACATTTGCTGAGAATTATGTGTAAAAACATTAAGAGGAAAGTCATTTGACATGAATTTTAAAATTAGATAAGTTTTGTTATAATTACTTATTAACCCATAGGGAACCCAAAAGTAGTTCAGGTTTGGATAAAAAACATTTGGATTAAGATTACTGGAAGAAGTGATTTCTGATCCAAGTTTGATATTTGTATGAAAGATATCATCAGTTCTTATGAATTAGTGACAGAATTTTATAAGCATTTCCTCTACACTCTGAAACCAAGTCTAAATGCAGACAAAGATTACAATTCAAATGAAATACATCTCAAACTTTGTGCTCAAGAAACATAAAACCCAATGAAAACTACTAATAAGTGTAAATAAGCGGAACATAAGTTATTTATAGAAATTCTTAAATTCATGGAAATAAGCAAAAAATTATTGTACACAGTATTCAACAAACATTAACTATTTTCATGATAGAAAGATAAATACTGTTTGAAAAATCATTTGTGACTCTATTTTCTTAGTGTTTTACATAAAATGCATTATTGATTAAATGCAATGTCTTTAATATTTACATAAAATGTTTTACTATGTCTTTAAATATGAGTACTATTTGAAAAGTTTAAATTATGTTTGAATAAAATATGGCAATCTTAATGTCACGTTAATATTCATTAGTTTGAATGTCGTGTAAAAATTAAGCTAAAGATAACATTTACTAAAATAATATTCAAACATAACATTTCATATGAATTATAAAAATGAGAAAATCAGATGACATTGAAATCTATGGTTGTTTCAAATGTAGGCTTTAGGGAAAGGGCCCAAAAGTTTTCAAATTTATGTTTATTTGAAGAGAAAGAAAAAGTCTTATACTTTAAATCTGCCCTCACTTTTGAGACTTCAAACAACTTTCGGTTTTGTTAATTAGTTTTGCAGAAAAAATGAGTTGAAAAAGAGTTCTCAACAAACTTTTTTGAACGGTATTCAAAAAAAGTAAATAATTTTTAAAGTTTCATATCTAATGATAAGTTTCTTAAATAAAAAAGAGTTACAATTTCAGAAGCAATTAATTTCTGCTTATTATTGAATAAACTAATCGTTAATTAGATTAGGATTTAATTATAAATGAATTTTTCATTTAAATCACTTTTTACTGCTCTTTACTATTAATAGCAATGAGGAAGTCATACAGAATGTCATACTGTATACTCGTAGAGATGCTCGTAGTATCACTTGAATTGAATCCGTGGCTGAGTTAAGGATAAAATTGTGATTATTATTAACGTTGTAATAATTAGTGTGAAATGTGTGATACACTTAAAGTATAACTCATTATGAAATTGTCATCTCTGGCATGCATTTAGTTGGTGTACAAACTTGCCGTTTAATACATTAATGGGTTGATTACCTCAACATTTGCATTGTTCTCAATATTAGTCAAAAGTTTTTGTAAAGATGTGCCAAAATATTACATAAACTGATTAAAATCTCTATTTAATCATCTAATACGGTAGTGGTGAGCATAATTATAAATTATGCTATCAATATGATTATTTTATGTTACAAAAATAAATATTGAATCAATTAGCATTACAATACAGTATTGGAGTATAGTTAATTTTTAAATCCAATGATTTTATAAATTCCAATCAGTTTAAAGGTTTTGCAAAATTTTTATGTCTACTTTTGTTACAAACGTAAAATATAATATACCAATAGTGTAGTATAATATATATATAGTATTTAAAAGTACGAAAAGCAATTAATAAATATACAAAATTGATTTTCCGCAAATTCTTGAAAACTACAAAAATAACAAAAACATATATTATCCACAAACACAGAAATAAGTGTTAGTTTCTGTAGTAAAAGTCATTTTAGAAAATAAATAAATATCTATTTTAAATTTCGATAATTCTATGCTCTGCTAAATCACATTATAATTGTCAGACTGTATCGCTTCAATCCATTTCCTACCCATCCTTTCCTCTACAAAGTGTTTCATTTGCCAAAAGTTAAGCTCAATTTTCTCACTATTTATTTGCAACTCTTGTTTCTTTCACTCAAATTCACATCCATTGCATTGCATAACAGTTTTCATAACTTTGTTGCTATAATATTGAGTTAAGAGTTTGCGTTCAAAGTCTCGCATCTCTTCATTATTTATGTCTCTTATGGCATAAAATCTAATTTTATTCAGAGCTCCACTTTTGCAAACCACTCATTCACTACCACTATATATATGTTATATTTCTTTTCCGCTAATCGGATCCAGTGCTTCCCAAATGCTTTCACAATGTCTTCGCTAAAAACTATCCAAACCTCTTAAGAGAGAGAGAGAGAGAGAGATCCGTATTGCAATATGAAAGCAATCTTATTATAAAATTGTTTTTGTGATTATAATAGCGATATCCTCGCAACTGATGACTTCCTTTTCCAGTGCTTCCCAAATGCTTTCACAATGTCTTCGCTAAAAACTATCCAAACCTCTTAAGAGAGAGAGAGAGAGAGAGAGAGAGAGAGAGAGAGAGAGAGGAAAACAAAAAATAGAAAATCAGTTTTAAAATCTGTAAAAACCGTCATTTGACACCTCTTTTACAAAACAAGAATCGCATTAATTTTAACTCTTTTTTACCCAAATCTTTACTCAAAAAAAATTACTTTTTATTTATATATTTCAACAAAAGCTTTTGTTTCAAACAAACAAAAATTAGTTTTATTTTTGCTTAAAAGCATTATTTCAATCATCATTTGAATTAAATCGTCTGTAAATAAAACCAAAACTAAAATAATTTTTTATCGCAAGTGTTGTAAAGTTTATGAATTGATTTATTGCAGAATGACACCATCACTCGGAGGTTTTCCCGGTCCAACTCCCTGACAGGTGCCTGTCCCCCGGGCCAATTGCCTAAATTTTACTACCCGTTAGGTCGACCCTATTCCTCGCATGAAGTGGAAACACAAATCCGTAAAATCACAGCAGTTTTTGATAGATTCCCGGCCAGAATAGTGGGGCGCAAGGAGTTGGCAACTATACTCAAAATAGTTGGTCTGCCGCTGTATTGGAAGGAACCGGTGTTCAGAGCAGTGAACAACACAAACATTAATATTAATAATAATGTAAATAATGGTAGTAATGGTAATGGAAATGGAAAAAAGGAAGTCATCAGTTGCGAGGCTTTCGTCGACTATTGGAAAAAGTAATGCAATTCTTATATTAATATTTAATGCATTCATTTATTTCGATATCATTTTGTGCAATGATTTATGAATCCGTTTGCTTATCAATGATATCCTTATTAATGATGCCATATATGAAACCTTCAAATACAGAGTCATATCCTCGTGTTATGACAACGCCTCGCGTTTCGTCAAAATCCTGACCTCTGGTCAACGCAACTATCTTTTGCCCGAAGACTTTGCGCCAATGATTCAGGACGTGATCGACACTCACCCGGGACTGGCATTCCTGAAGGATGCCGAAGAGTTTCACTCGCGTTACGTGCATACAGTGATCGCCAGAATCTTCTACTGCGTGAACAAGTCATGGACGGGCAGAATAACGCTACCGGAGCTGAAAAAGTCTAACTTCTTGCAAGTGGTCTCTCTATTGGAAGAGGAGGACGACATCA